AATAAGCACCTGTACACTGTCACATCAGCCTCTGAGCTGCAAAGTGTGCACGAGCGTTCAAACGCACCGGATACCGTCACAGAAGCACTTCCTGTTGACACTAGCTGTAAATTCCACTAACGCAGATTCGCAACATCTTTGTACTGCACACATAAATAAATATTAATACCAATAAAACTTTTAATTTAATTTAACTCGTCTATCGGCATTTATTATACATCAGGTTTAATTCACAGTCAATCACTAAAATCCTGTTTGGAATTGTATTACTTATGATATTGCCGATTTTATTTTCTATTTATTTAGCCACTGTGGAGAAATGAAGATAAATAGATAAATAGCTGCAACTGTTGATTATTTATATCTTCTACAGTTAACTGGTTAATCTAAACCTTTTTTTTTTTTTTTTTGATTCAATGACGATTACTTTTAACAAACAATAAAATCGGACATTTATTTATTGTATTTGTTATTTTTTTCTCAAGAATTTTGACATTTTAAGAGTTAATGATTTTTCCTTGGAATCACAAAAGCAATGTTTAGAGCTAAAAGCAATTAAAGTAAACATGATGATAAACACTAAAATATTTAAAGCACTGAGGTAACAGAGTAATCTTCAGTATTTAAAAGAAACAAATGACCTGATAGTCTTTTTTGAGAACTGAATACACATGGCTAAATTCTGTATATGAAATTGGACAGAGTGCAAAAGTTTGCATATCCTTAGGATCAAAAAAAAAAAAAAATTCATTTATAGCAGCAAGACAGTGAGTTGGGTTTCACATATGACAGTTATTCATTATTACTATTAAGAAAAAGGTCAAATATTATATGTAAATATATTGTTTTCATCAATTTCTGATATCAGTTGAAAGTTTTGCATTTTCCTTTCTGAATGTGGTATAAAATATATGTTTCTAGTTCTAAGATTATTATTATTATTATTATTATTATTATTATTATTATTATTATTATTACTGTTGTAGTTGTTGTTCCTTTAGATATATGAACACTTTTACTAAACTTTTGTATCATTAATAAATAATTTTCCGTGATATTAATGGTCTGTGTAGTTAGTAATCAGCTGATAGCTGTGTCCCTCAGTAAACAAAGCACATCGAGGACATTTCCCAGCATGCACTTGTCTCAGAAGGGACTGCGCCAGGTTGCCAGCTCCACTGATTTACCGCGTTAGGTATTTAGAGGGAAGGTTTATGTTATCAGACAGTCGCAGGGTTTCCACTAGTGGTGTGAAAAGAATAGAGATGTGGGTTATTTGTGAAACGGAATTAAATAAATAACGTCAGAATATCAGGAAAAAGTGGCGAGCAAGAAGTCTTGCTAGCTTGTAAAGTTTCTTTTTTATTATTTTAGTCATCGCTGCACATTTTCTCTCTTTTATTTCGCATGAAATAAACATACAAAAATGACAGGTGTCTGGAGGGCACAGAGTATCTACAACAATTTAATATATTTTAAAATTGTTCTCCAGTTAAAGCTAGCCAAAGCTAATCTTTCAGAAAGTGGCATTTTATATATTAATGGAGTCGGTAAGGGATCATCTAAAAAAATGCATTGAATAAGCAGCTATAGCCCTATTCGGAAGGGATTCAGTTTACATGGGATCCTGGGGTCATTTACTGTTGTTGTTCTTTCGGCTGCTCCCGTTAGGTTTTGCCACAGCGGATCATTGGTACATCCACACATTTGATTTGGCACAGTTTTTACGCCAGATGCCTTTCCTGGGACAGGCACCGGGAGTGCACTGTCGTGTGCCGGGGTTAGTTGCCTGGCCGGGAATCGAACCCGGACCGCGGCGGTGGTGAGAGCGCCGAAACCTAACCACTAGTCCTCCAGAGACCCGTCCTGGGGTAGTTTACTATTTTACATAATGTGGATTTTTTTTTTTTCTTCTAGCAATACTGGGTTGCTACACGTACTACGGGCTGTCAATCAGTCTGTGCGTTGGCATGGCAACAAGTAACGCTCTATCCAGCTGTGGCGTCTTTGGGAACTGTTTTCATTGAGCAAAAATAAACAAATGAACAGGCCATATTGTGTCTGAAATTTCAGTTACTCAATATTAATCTCTTGTTTGTAATAATGTTGTTTGTGCTTATATCGGAATCAGAGCCGTGCTGATATTCAGTACAACAGCGCTCTTGCTTGTGTGATATTGCTCACTTACACCACAGCGTGGCTGAATTCTCAAATCTGATCGGTCTTTGTGTAAGGAGTAACACACTCCAGACTGTGCTGTTATACAGAAATAATGCACGTGGGGGGTTTATTTTTCACGAGACTGTTTATCGCAGCTATAACGTAAGTGATAACGGGAACTAACTTGGATGTCTCTCTGATGTTCCACAACATTAAATCTAACTATAGACTGTTAAAATGTGCAACATGTCATTCATTAATGACTTAAACATTGTAACTGTTGCCAAAAGTCTGCGGTATAAGTGGAATAAAACACTCCAGTCTGTGTTGTTATACAGAAAAGATACACTGTATTGGGAGCGCATCACACCTTATTTTTGTATAAGCACACAGTTTGGAGTGTTTTATTTCTTACTTGTAACTCACAAGACCATTTAAAAGCACTTATTAGATCATCTGTGTGTTTGTATTACTATCTTTATGCTGTATAACATGACGTTAAGGTTTAAACATCACAGTCCATGTTGCATGATGGATAGGATTTGGAAATGAGGAATCTTTTGTGCAGACTTGGCAACCCTGCCTGATATACGGGCCATTTTGTTGTGGTGTTTGGGGGGAAAATTAGCCGTTAACTATGAACATTGTGCACTTTTTCCTCGACACTGTGTGCTCTCTGGGTCAGATATTAAGCCAGAACGCTACATAAGGGTTGGCTGTTTGCGACCGGCGACTGTTTGTAATTATTTACACTGTTTACAGGTTTGTTTTGACGCAGTTAGCTAGCTGCCGTGCTAACTCAGCTAGCTGGCTAACTTCAGCTGTAGTTCCTCTCGGCTTCAGCTCTTGTCATTAAGGGCTTCGAGCGCTGAAAGTTAGCAACACGCTGGAGTGTTTGCAGGGCGGGTCGCTGAAGGGCTGAAGAAAGCGTCCATTTCAGGGGGAAAACACAACAGCGACGGCTCGCTTTAGCCAGCAAAAGAACAAAAAGTTGGCTGTGAATGATGGCAGAGGAGTCCGGACAGAGTAAGAGCGCCGGTTTCTCGGCTCTGGTTGAGAACAGTAACGGAGTGACTAAAACCCCGAGCTCCAAATCCAGCACGTCCAAGAAACTGGTGATTAAAAACTTCAAAGGTAAACACATCACATGCTTTCCTGCTAGCTGCCCTGCTAAGCTAAGTTTCCAGCAACATTAGCCAAGACAACAGTAATGCAATCTGATCGAAATGACAATTCTGGCACTCTGAGTGTCTTTACACTGTAAATCCTCAGCTTATACAAAATACACCTACATCTAAGGGATGTTTGTTTGTTTGCTTGTTTGTTTACAAATGATCAGCTGTCAGAGTAACTCAGTAGCTTGGTATGATGATATAAAAAGCTATTAAAACACACACACAGATACATGTGGGTTTTAGTGGGTTTTTTTTTCTGTAATATGACATGTAAAACGTGTAATGGTCTATATTCAGTACATATTGTCATAACACAGCTGTGAATGTGGTCTCTGATTGGTCAGAAGGTGTTGATTAGTTTTCTCTAACAGCAGCTCTGACAGTAGTTCCTACTCTAACACAAATCCCAGACTTGTATTCATTCGCTTGTCCTAATACCTTCTCGTTCCTATAATAACAGCTCCTTCACAGGGACTTGCACTTCGCAGGGGATGCTCTTATAATGATAAATAAATAAGTAAATATCGTGTTGTTTAAAAGAAAAAAACTGTAATATGGTGAAGTTTCCTGTGAGGAGAATTTATTTAACTTTATTAATGGAAGGAGTCTCCAGTGTCAGCGCTTTGAAACTGTAAGTTTTCCGCCACAGGAGAGTCTTCACAGAGCACAGAAGACAGTCCCTTCAGGATTTCGTGAATTTGCGATCGCAGAAATTAACGCAAAATCGAGCAAACTCCACAATATTCGGAGGAGCTTGTAATTTTTAAATTAACGTAGGTTTTCTGCACGGGCCAAGACGCGTCATGTGACGTCGTCACAACACACATTCAGCCAAAGCCCTCTTCGATTCATGTGTCGAACTTGAGTACAGCTAAAAGGTCTCATTTACCAACAAACATCGCTGCGAAAGACCGTGCAAAACAATTTCATGCATTGTATGCATTTCATCGCAATTTCGCCAATTCAAGTAGTTTTCTGCAAAAACATTGCATCATCATTCTGGAAAAAAAAAAAAGCTGCAGCAAATTCAAGCATTTTTGGCCGCAACAATCACAAAAAAACTCTGCGAAATCCCATACGGACTGAGAAGAGTTGGCGGTTTCTTTGTCATGTGACAAGCTGCAGGTTTTTTTTGGGTTTTTTTTGCCTTGTTAACGTCACGAGCGTGAAGAATAGAGAGGCTGGTAAGGAAACGACTGTTTATAGCAGTTATAACGTAAGTGATAGCAGGAATTATCTTTTGGACGTTACACAACATTAGATTTAACCATAAGTAGTTAAAAAGCGTGACGTGTCATTCATTAATAAATTTAAATTTGTAATTATTAATTGTGAAAAATCACTGTGATATAAGAGGAACAACATGCTGTTATAGGAAAATAGTAACGGATCACACCACCCTGTCGTATTTTATCTTATTTATCAAAAACAAATCTTTTATTAATCTACACAAAGGACAAATTAGGTTTAGAGTTAAGTGAAGAAGGTTGAACCCGCACGTGGCTTCTGGGTGAAATTAAAGGTAGACGCATCTGTTTCTTCAAAAGAAGGGAAGAGTTAAGAGAAAAGGAAAGAGTTGGCAAAGATTGGGCCAATTGATCAAAGCCAAGAAATTCATAAAATATTGGATGACGGCAGGATGGTGTGACAATATAATATCGATATCGTGATAAAATGTCACAGTACACTTTTCTCAGATATCGTCTGTAATATAATGTCTTTTTTCCTAACATTTTTGTGTTTTTTTTAAATAACAAGCAGCTGATTTGATCATTTTCTCCTCTTTGAATCTTAAAATTGTAAAATGTATTTTTTTTTTCCTTTTCAGTGTTAATTTAATTTTGTAGGCAATAAATAATTCCTTTTTTAAAAGCTTATTTGTAAACGCAAGAATTTATTAGGAGTTCTGTATATTGTGATGTATATCGTAGAAACGTCCTGACACATTGTGATATAATGTTTTTATCATATCGCACAAACGTAACCCATTGAGGTATGAAAGAAGTTGGAGGAAGTTATATTCATAAATCGTGATGACATAAACTCCCACCCCACATTTACCTATTTAACACATGTACAGTTTGATGAAGGAATATTAGTGAACTCTTATATAACTCTTGTTGGTATCAAATACATTTCTTTGTCTTGGCTAATGTTTTGCACGTAACTCTAATTGTTTAAAATTTTTCAAATAATCAGTAAGATTACTAGTTAATAACTTTTCCTTATGTATGACTTGGTACTGAACTGTAAAAGGATCATTGTCTTGATTATCACCAAATATGTTCAGAGTAATAAAATCAGATTTTGTGTGTATTCCGAATCTATAAATAATCTCTTTCAGGACTTTCCTCCACGTACCTGTAAGTTGTAGTATGGAATCGAGACTTGGCACCTTTCTCTGTTTACATCTGAAGTGTGTGTTGTGTTGTACAGAAAGACCCACGCTGACGGAAACCTACACCGAGGACACATGGCTGAAGTTGCGTGATGCCGTTGGTGCTATCCAGAACAGCACATCAATCAAATACAACTTGGAGGAGCTTTATCAGGTAAAGTACGCACGGCTCAGAGGCAACACGAGGAGAACTCTTTTCAAGCGAAACACAGATACGGGAGGAACGTCCGAGCAACCACAGCGTCAGAGTGAGGAGATTTGTGAGCTTTATATCCAGTTGGTTGGAGATTAGTCCTGCAGTGGTATGAGCCTGAGCTTAGCTGAGCAAAATGTACCAGAAACTTTTCATATCACATGGTCAGACATGTCTCACTTCTCCTGATTTGCATGCTGAGTTTTATATGCACAGATTTTACATCTGGTAATTCCTCCAAAATAAAAATAACTCCACTAACACTGACGTGATAAATAAGGAAAAACAAACTCCAGACCTGTTATATGAAAATAATGCACGCTGCTGAAGTGTATAATTTTCATATACCTGCACAGTCTGGAGTGTTTTACTGCAGCGATTTGGCAACATTTACAATGTTTAATTTATTAATGAATAACACGACACACATTTTAAAGGTTTATAGTTAGATTTAATGTTGTGGAACAGCAGAGACAAACTAGTTTGTGTTCTCACTTTCTCACCTACATTATAACTGCGATAAACAGTCTCTCTCTCTCTCTCTCTCTTTCTCTCTGCCTCTGTCTCTCTCTCTCTCTCTCTCTCACACACACACACACACACACGCACACACACACGCACACGTGCGCTTACAACCAAAACTCCTTTGATAAATGTTAATTAAATGTCTCCTAACAAAATCATCAGAACATCAACAATTATATGTTTTACTTTGTTAAATAACACCACATTAAAAAAAAATCTGCTTATTATTAGTCCTAGATTATAGTAAGTTCCTGTGTATGAGCTGTTTCTGTAGAAACAATAATGTACTAGAACGAGCGCATTAATATTAACCTGTCATTCATGTTACAGCCGGAGCTACTGTCCGAGCCACGCTTTTATACACAGCACGCGTACTGCTCACCTCCTGACCAATCAGATTTAAGCATTT